GACCGAAGTTGACCATCCCATCGCTCAGGAGTCTTGGGTTCTGAATCGCTTGAGTGATTGGCGTGTGAGATGCTTCCCCCTCCCCAAACCCCTCCCTCGGGGCCCGGTCCGGTCGGTTTGGAGGGGGGGGGGTCCGGCGGGCCCCGGCTGAACACGTCACGAGCCTCACGACGGGCCATGAGGGAGCCAAGAAGCCCACAAGATGGTCGAAGAGGGCCCCGAGTCGCCGATGGATCGTTCCAAGACCAAGATGGCCCCCAGACGGCCAAAAAGGCACCCGAAACGCCCCAAGAGGCCCCCAAGAGGCGTCCCAAGAGGGCCCCCAAAAGCAAAAATCGTCCCATTCACTGGGGGAAGCGTATGATTTTAACATATTCGCCTCTTGGGCATTCACAGCGTCCAGGACGGCCCAAGAGGACCCCAAGATGATGGCCTAAGAAAGCTCCACGACGGCCCAAGAGGGCTCCAAAACGACCTAAAAGGCCCCCAAAACGGCTCCAGGAGGGGGCCCGAGTGGGGGACACGAACGGAAATTTCGAGCCCTCGGCCCTAAGAAGCTTCCAGGAGGCCCCCAAGAAGCCCCCAAGATGCCCCAAGAGGCCCACCAGAAGCCCCAAAGTGCTGCCAGGAGGCCCCTGAGAGACCTACCAGGAGCTCCCCACGGGGTCGGCGGTGCGGCGTAAACCAAATAATCTTGGATTCTCGATCGCTCGAATGAGGAGCTGGATGTCAGACTCCTGGGCCAAGGTTTGATTTCGAGCCCCTGCATGTTGCATGGTGATGCCTCGGGAAATTGCGGCACGCACACCTCGAGGCTGGGGAGAGTCGGAGTTGCCATCGCAGCTGTTGCTCCCGCTCCTGCTTTCTCATCTCGTGTTTTTCGGTCCTCTCCCAGGGCAGCAGCAGACGGCGCCCACAGGATAACTTTTCTGGGCTGCGCTACTCGACTGTGACGAAGTGCGCCGAAGCTTTTGGGCTCGTAAATTTCGGGCTCCCAGTCGGCCCAAACGCCGACATGTGGAGAACCACCGGGAAGGACCTCAGGAACATCGAGCCCCTTCCGAACCCCAAAGCGGTCCTTACTGCAGCGTCTTTGACTGCACGGCTTTTCAATCCCCTTCCCTCAGGATCAGTGATCTACTGACCAGGGTCAATCCAACCCTGGTTCAATCGGGCCTTGCGGGATCCTGCAAAATCCTGCGGGATCCTGCGCCCAAGCCCGGGTCAGTGCGCCCCTGGCCCTGCAGGATCCTGCACCGTCTGCATTGACCCCTGTCTTAAGGCTCCCCTCGGGAGCCCCTGGCCTCTTCCCCGGGGACAAGAGTCTCTCGTCCAGGATCCGCTTCTGAAGGCCCCTGGGCCCCCAGTGGCGGCCGCCGAAGGCCGAAACGTCCAGCGGATTGGACGCACTCGCGCCGTCGGAGGTCTGGGTTCGGGCGCGCGCTAAATTTGGGGAGCGAACAACACACACCCATATCCAGGGGGGGTCGGAAGGAAGAGGACCGGCCAATGGTGGACCCAAGCGGTGTTTTGGCGATTTCGTGGGCCGTGTTCGTTTCGATTTCGTTTTGCCGTAAAGGCGGCTTGAAGATAAAACGAAGGAAAACGACAACAAAACGAAAACGAAAAATACCGTTTAGGTTCAGCCCTGTGTGTGTGTGTGTTGCTCGCTCGTCGGACTTGGAATCCGGATCTGTGGAATTGGCGCGTGGGCATCGGATCCGTGGATCGGGGAAACTCGCCATCGCTCGGACGTCCATTCCCTGTGTTTTTTTCGGTTTCGTGCGTGGTTTTTTCGCCAAATGATCAAGGATGCTCCTCGATGGCCCTCGCCGAAGGAAAAATGCACACGTCCGAGCAATGCCAAGGAAAGTGTCACCCGGAACATGAAGCCAGTGCTGCCTGACTTGGCGGCGGAGCGCGCCCACTCGGCATCGAGCCAAGGCCCGTCGCTGACCCACAAGGCCGAAATGTCTACGGCTGCGTTCCCTCGAGCGGTCCCCTCCCCCGTCCCCCTGGCCGGCGCCCCTGGGCACGATGCCGCCTCGTGCGCTGCTTGACGCGGGGGCGACAAACGGGGGGGGGGGGGGATTGAAGAGAGGTGCACCTTTCGCACACCTCTGGCGCCCTAGGGGACCCCTTGAAGCCTTCTAGGGCTCCCCTCCTGCAGCCCCTCGACCACAGTTGCTGGATCCCCCCACACTTGCCATCACTTGGGGCCGCACCTGTAGTCTCCTTTTTGCGCCCACTACTCCCTCTTGCCGCTGGGTGTTACGTGGTGGGCCACATGGGAAAAACTCTACCAATGGAGGACTGGAAGGCCCCCCTCAAGGTCCTCGGGTGCCCCTCAGCCACGCTGCCAAACGAAAAGGGCTGGCACGCCACCCCGACGCCCAACACGAGCGGAGAAGCGGAGTCTCGACTTCCGGGCGCTTGGCGGTCCTGGCGCACCTGGGGCTCGTCGTTGTCGTTGTTGTCGTCGTCGTCGTCGTCAGCTTGCGCCGGCGGGGCTGGCCTCGCTCTGCTTTCGCCGCATGCCGCCACCCCGCCGCCCGAGGAAGAGCGATGCCGGCACCTCTCCCCTCCCCGCGGGGAGGCGAAGAGGTGCACAGTCAACCCGTAGGAGAAGGGATGCACGATAAGGATGCAAGGGCCTTGGAAGGCCATGTCGACACTTTGCGAACGGGGCGCGGCCAGCGAAAGCGGCCAAGGACGGGCCGAGGGGGAAGGATGCGAGGGTCACCTTGGGAAGTCGCTCATCCTGACGATGCTGGTTGACTGTGCCGCTGTTTTCCTGGGGGGGCTTTCTGACAAGGACTTCGGGGACAGTCCAGGCGAGGGGCTCCCAGGAGGCCCAAGAAGGCGAAAGCGAGGGAAAATGTAGCGGTGCAAGGCCACCTTGTCCCAGTTCCCTCTCGGTGCAATCCTTATTCCTAGGGGATAACACGCGCTACACAGGGGGGGGGGGCGGGGGGGGGGGGAAAGGGCAATGGGGGCCGCAGCGCGCGCCCCCCGAGGCGCGCCGCCTACGTTGTCGTCGTCGTCGTCGTCGTCGTCGTCGTCGTCGTCGTCGTCGCCGTCCAAACCCACACCGCCTGCGCACGCGACACGGGCAAGTACACCAATCTGCCTTTGTGCACCGGGACTGCTTTAGAAGTGGTGCGTCTGTGCGCCACGGCGACTGCATAAACCATAACAGCCGTGTACACCACGGCACCTTTGCACATAACGCTGCTTGCGCACACCACGGCGCCCGCGTGCACCAGAGCTGCTGTTTCAGCACCACCTGTGCACCGCAGCGCCTGCGTACACCACAAAGCTTGTGTACACCTGAGGCGCCGACAGAGCCAAACTCTGGAAAATCGATGGGGGCCCGAACGTATCAAATTCAATATCTGGGTTGATTGTGAATACCTGTTTGTCTGACCCAAGGAACGCTCGGATATGTTGGGCCCACTGCGCTTGTGCGCGCCATAACGACTGTGCACGTCATGGCAACTGCGCGCACCATGGCGCCAGTGAGCACCACGCGGCTTGGGGGGCGCGGACCGGCGTCGACCGAGGGAGTACACTCAGGAGGGGGAGGAGGAGGAGGAGGAGGAGGAGGAGGAGGAGGAGGGGAGGGAGGAGGAGGAGGAGGAGGGAGGGAGGAGGAGGAGGAGGAGGGGGAAGCAGGAGGAACAGCAGCATCAGCAAGAGGAGCAGGAGAAGTAGAAAGGAACCCGCGATGGGGTCGACAGCTCGGGGCCCGCCCACTTTTTTCCAGGAGCGCAGCCAAGATGCACGCAGTCATCGAAGAGAAGCTCGTTGCAGAACTCCGTGCACGAGACCGCCAACGGATCTTCGTGATGCACCACGCACAGCCTGCGCATAGCTATCTTGTTATTCCTCCTCCTCCTCCTCCTTCTCCTCTTCCTCCTCCTCCTCCTCCTCCTCCTCCTCCTCATCATCATCATCATCAATGCCCACGTCCTGCATGCGCAAGGAGGACGAAGACGAGGAGGACGAACATGCAGAGGGAGGAGGAGGAAGAAGTAGGAAGAGATGCGTGGGAACATTCTGGCCCACAACGCACGCTTACATCATAACGACCATGTGCACTACAGCGATTGTGTACATCACGGCGCCTGTGTGCATCACAGGGCTTGTGGTGTGTATACTACGGCTTGTGATGTGTATACTACACTGCTTGCGTACACCCACTATGTCTGTGTACACCACGGCGTCTGCTGCATCGACAGATGCGTGCGTCACAACGCCCGTGTACACTGCAGTGCCAGCACACACCATAATGCACGCCCGCGTGCACTGGGGCACTAGTAGTGCATGCGTGCACCACAGGCCCTAGGCTGCCTGGGATCGCGCACTGGACCGGGCCGGGGCGTTACCCTCACGGGGAGGAGGGGGAGCAGGGGGGGGGGTAACACGTGGTATTCCTCCTTCTCTGAGTCTACAGCGGTGGCGGAAGCGTCTGCAGCGGCGGCGGCGAAGGGGAGAGTCCAGCCGTGAAGCGGAGGGCTCTCCAGGACGAGCAGCCGTATTCGGCATCTTCTCCCTCTCTGAAAAGGGGCCCGCCCAAGGGCACTGAAATACATACACACACATCCCAGGATGCTCGATCTTGTCCCATCTTTTCTGGGTCTCCGTCCTCCCCCCCCCACTTCCCATAGCTTCCCATATATCTCCCTGGGGGTCGTCGAGTCCTCGTGTCTGTGAGCCTCGTGCCCTCCTGCCTTACGTCCTGGACCGCCCCGCCCATCGCCCCCCGCCCACGAGAATCTGAAGGGGCCCACAAACACACAAATAAATACACACAAATAACCGGATTGACCCCATATTTTCCAACATTTTCTGGGTTTCTGTCTCCCCCCTCACTTCCCATACTTTCCTATATTTTCTGGGGGATCGACGATTCATTGCGTCTGTGTGTTTTTGTTCCCTCGTGAGCACCGCCCGGCCCCCCCGCCGCCCGCCCGCTGCCGGCGCGCCGCGCCGCCGCGCTACACCTCGGCGGCGGGGGCGGGCGCGGGGCGCGGCGCGGCCCGCGGGGAGCGTCGTTTCTGGAGGCCTAGACGTGGGCACCAGCACCACCGCAGGGGGGGCTGCTTCCACAGGGGGAAGAGGGTCCTAGATCCCCGTGTTTTCACGGGCGAAGAACGGTATAACAAACTTGTTCGCCGTCGGGGACACCTGCCCCAGGGCGGCTGGAAAGTTTATACCCTCACGGTGGCACCATAGGGGTACAAACTTTCCAGCCGCCCAGGGGCAGGTGTCCCCGACGGCGGAAAGTTTATCTTATACCGTTCTTCGCTCGCTGAGTGTTGGTGGCAACGTTTCGGCGACCTTGGAGGCTAGGATGCTACCACCATCGCCGAGATCGGGACCTTCTTCCCTCGGTGGAGGCACGCCGCCGAGGTTGGGTGTTTGCGTCAAGCTCTAGGCCTGCGATGCTTTTGCCAGCCCACCCGTGAGTCGTGTCTTCGCTCTGCGTCCGCGGCGCCGCGCCTCATCCTCCTTTCCTCCTCCCCTTCGGCGGCGGGCGAGGGGGGGGAGGCGAGAGGGAGAAGGCCCCCCCGAGAGGTCGGCGGGGCTTCTCGCAGAAGCCCTCCGGCCTCTCCCGAGAAGCCGTCCTGCGTCTTCGGGGGCGGCGTAGGAAGCTTGTCAGAGGGCTGGGGGGGGGACCTCCGAGCCTTCTGCGGCGGCCCGCCCCTTCTCGCTTCCCCCCTGCGCTCGCTTCCGACCTTCTCCTGCTCGTCGTCATCAGCACCAGCAACATCATCGTCGCTACCGTAACTCGTCATCGCCATCAGCCTCGCCCCTCCGATCACCCGTCTTGCGGCCCCCTCCCCCGTTTCTGCAATCCGTGTAGAATGATAGGAAATCTTGGAAGTTCTGGAACGTGCCACTATCATTACTGGGTGGCCCCAGTCGATGCTTTTCGCCGGGCACTTGCCGCAACACAACTGCGGGTAGGAGGGGAGGAGAGGAGACGGCCGAGACGGCGGAGGAGGCGAGGGGAGGAGGAGAGGGGAGGAGGAGAGGAGATGGGCAGGGGGGGAATTCGAGAAGAGAAGCGGCAGAAACATGCAACTGTCGGAGGACCGCGCGGATTTCTTGGATCGGCGCTGGGCCCCCCCTCCCTGGTGCCCGAAGCGCGCCAGTGGCGGCGCCAGAGGCGCCGCCCATGGGGGGGCCCAGCGCCGACCCAAGAGAGCCGCGCGGGTCCCCGAGCGTTCTGTCTGCGCATGTCTTCTTCTGACTACCTACCAGGCCACCCCAACCCAACCCGAAGACCCGAATTTCGGGTTGGGGGGGGGTACGGGTTCCATATGTGTTTTCTCGATGTTCCCCGACCCCCCCCCCCACTGGAAATGGAGGTCGATTTGAGGCCTTCGGGTTGGGTTGGGGTGGTTTGGTGGGTGGTGATCTTCCTCGAGGAGAACACATGGGAATACGGCCAGACCTAGGGCAGAAGCGCACCCGCCAAGAACATGAGTACTTCCGCTGGCCAAGCTCAGGGACACTCGAGGGTACCCTCCCCCAGGATGCACAGGAGCATCTGACAAGCATGAAGAACATTAGCGTTCTCCCCCCGAACCGACCTCGACCTAAACCCTTGGTCAGACCGTATGACAAATCTGTAAAGTCGGGAAATCGACGTACCATTATCATGACCCTTGCTCCTCTGACTTTGGCGCCCCCGGTCAGACAAGACGATGGTAGGTGGGAGGCTTGGAATTGGCACCAACACCACAACAAGGGGTTGTCTCCACTGGAGGAGGAAGATGCAAGTAGATCTCGGCGCTGGTGGTAATCGTTCGGCCACCTGGGAGGTCCGGATACTACGGCCGGACCCAGGACACAGCAGCATCCTTCAAGAACATATGAGACCCTCCGCCGGCCAAGCTGGAGGACACTCGGGGGTAACCTGCCCCAGGATGCACAGGAGCATCCAACAAACACGAAGAACTTTAGCGTTCTCTCTCTTCGAACCGACCTCGATCCTATACCTCGGTTCGACCGTACCACCATCACCGAGATCGGGATCATCTTCCCTCTGGGCCCTCCAAGTGGGGTCCGAGCAGATGGTGTCAGAGGATTGCGCAACATCTCCTCGCATCGGCGACGTCGGCGATGTGTATCACCGACGTCGGCGATGTATCGTCGGCGTGGAGAAAAACGGACCACATCGAGCCGCACCGCCGATGCATCGGCGATGCGGCGCGATCCTCTGACCCGGTCTGCTCGGACTCCACCCGGGAGGCCTTGAATCCGGCCTGGGAGGCCCGAAGATCACTACCATCACCGAGATAGGGATCACCTTCCCTCGGTGGAGGCAACCGCTGACATTGCGGGCGGCGCGCAGAGGAGGGTTTGGGGAGGGGGACAAAGGCTCCTTAGGAACACTTGGGAGATACGGGCCTTGTCTGCACATGTAGGGCGAGCGCCTCCCGAGAGGCAGCCTCCTTCTAAGGAGCCTCCCCCCCTCCACCTACCCCCCTCTGCGAGTGGCCTGCATTGGTGCCGGCGCCAACCCCCGAGGCAGGCTGGGGGTCGCGTTATGTCGGGCGTGTCCCCCTACCGGGGGATTTTCGTTGGAAAAAAAAGACACCAAAAATGCCCCAAAAAGTCAGACAATACTCAACAAAAAATAGTCCCCAGACTGTTTTTGGACTATGTTTGGACTATTTTTGGGGCATCTTTGATTTTTCGTCGAACATCCCCCTGTAGGGGGACAGTCCCGATTGAAGGCCAACCCCCGAGGAAGGCTGGGGGTCGCGTTATGTCGGGCGTGTCCCCCTACAGGGGGATTTTCGTCAAACAATACTCAACAAATAGTCCCCAGACTATCTTTGGACTATTTTAAAACTATTTTTGGGGTATTCTTTTTTTTGTCTCGTCGAAAATCCCCCTGTAGGGGGACAGGCCCGACTTAAGGCCAACCCCCGAGGAAGGCTGGGGGTCGCGCAGGAGAGCGTGCAGAGCGCCTCGTCGCGCGGCAGCCCAGAGGCCTGCGCCGGCTCCGCGCCGGACAGGCGGCCCATGCCGCTCGACGGCATGCCCTGGCCCGGGTCCCGCCTCCTCCCGAGGTGCTGTCGCTCTCCCCCTCCCTCCCCCTCCCTCCTCCTCCTCCTCCTCCTCCTCCTCCTCCTCCTCCTCCTCCTCCTCCTCCTCCTCCCTCCTCCTCCGCCTCCTCACAGTTGCTTTCGCTGTCCAGGGCTGCGCCCCGCCGAGAGTTTTCTGGGGGCTATCCTGTTTGTCCCGGTGACCTCCGGAGGTCCTTTGTCGGCCGCCCCGGATGATCCGCATTCCCTCGCATTCGTATCTTCTGAGTCCGGGGCAATCGCCCTCCTCGTGGCTATCTCTGCGCGTGGCAGCGCGTGAAGACGCCTATTGCCACCACGCGATTTTCCCCCCTTTTCCTTCCCCCCCCCTTTCCCCTCGCTTCTCGTCTGCCCTCTGCTCCCTTATCCCTGCTCCTTCCTTCTGGGGCGAGGCCAGCGAGAGCGAGCCCAGGCCAGCCCGGGCCTGCCCAGGCCTGCCCAGGCCAGCCCAGGCCAACCTAGGCCAGCAGAGGCCATCCGAGGCCAGCTCAGGCCAGCCCCGACCAGCCCAGGCCAGCCTGAGCCAGCCGCGACCAGTCCGGGCCAGCCGAGGCCAGCCCGGGCCAGTCGAGGCCAGCCCAGGCCAGCCATCCTTTTCTCCCTCATCCCTCCTCCCTCCTCCCGTTCCCTCTCAGGTGCTAGCAACTCAGAGACTTTTTGCATAGCAGGCAGGTGGCCAGACCAGTCACAGGGCCGCTCGTGTCGAAGGCTGGGGGATTCTGTTCCGAGGGGTTGGGGCCTCCAGCCGAGGGCGCATAAGCTACATATCCACTAAGATGCTAGGTGAACGCATGCTTTTCATTGCGAGCCCGAATTTTCAAGCAAGCTGTTGCCACTGCTGCCCCCTCCCTCCCTTCCTTTCTCCTGTCTCTTGCGTCCTCTCTTAGGAACGAAGAAGTTTCCAGGGCTCCCCGTCCACTCCTCCGTCCAGACTCAGCCGCCTTCGCCCTCGCCCTGCCGTCTCCGGCTGCTTAGTGCGTCCTGGCCCCAAGGGGGTCAGGTAGGACTGAGGCCGCGGAGGTGGGTCGGGGGTGGGGGCTGGGAGCGGATCCGGATGGTCTCCACCACCCACGCTGGCAGACTGCGGTATGCCTTGCAAGGACTGGATGGTTGACCCCAGGGCGGATCCCTTTTACAGCTCCCTGTCCGCACTCACATGCGCTCACTCGGGAAACCGCTGGTGCAAGGTGGGATGCCCTCCATCCCCTGCTACCCCTGGAGATCGCCAGGGAGGTGGGGGGGGCCCCTCCTTCCACCGGAGCTGTTGTCCCCTGTGCGCGGATGTGGGAGCCGACTGAGGTCAGGCCGCGGCTGGTCCACCTCCTGGCTGCCCTCGGGGTGCTGTCCCTGCAGCCCTCAAAGAATGCCCAGAGTGGCCACCAGCCAGCCCCTCCCTCCTCCTCCTCCCTCCTCCCCTCCTCCTCCTCCTCCTCCTCCTCCTCCTCCTCCCTCCCTCCTCCTCTCCTCCTCCTCCTCCTCCTCCTCCTCTCCTTCCTCCTCCCTCCTCATCCTCCTCCTCCTCCTCCTCCTCCTCCTCCTCTCCCCCTCCTTCCTCCTCCTCTCCCCTCCTCCTCCTCCTCCTCCTCCTCCTACTCCTCCCTCCTCCCTCTCCTCCTCCTCCTCCTCTCCTCCTCTCCTCCCTCCTCCTCCTCCTCTCCTCCTCTCCTCCTCCTCCTCCTCCTCCTCCTCCCCTCCTCCCCTCCTCCTCTCCTCCTCCTCCTCCTCCTCCTCCTCCTCCTCCTCTCCTCCTCCTCCTCCTCCTCCTCCTCCTCCTCCTCCTCCTCCTCCCTCCTCCCCCCCTCCTCCTCCTTCCTCCTCCTCCTCCTCCTCCTCCTTCCTCCTCCTCCTCCCTCCTCCTCCTCCTCCTCCTCCTCCTCTTCCTCCTGCTGTCCCCAGAGCCCCTCGCGTCAGGGACAAGAGCGCGCCGCGGGCGTTCTGCTTCTGCTTTGCCCTTTGCTGCGCTGTTTTTTCGGCCTCATGGGGGGGCCCTCGCCGAGGCCCCATGCAGGGCCGTCGAGGAGCGACTCGGCATGAAGCGCCGGCCCCGGGGAACGGGCCGACACCATCCGGGGTCGATGCCGTGAAGCAGTCGTGACGTCGGGGGTCTGGGTCGGCTCGGGCGGCGGGAGCTGCACGCAGCGCGTGGGGCGTTCCACAGTCGGGGTTGGACAGACCCCCCTTTAGCAAAACGTGGCTCAGTGAAACCGACCCGAGGCCCAGACCTGGCGGGCGCAAGCCTGGAAAATGACGGCCAATGCGCCCTCTCGAGAACCGAAAGCGGACGATGCACTAATCGACGTGTCCCCGTTGGGGGTTCTGTCCACCTCCGACGCAGAGGGCCTCGCCCTCGACGGGACCGAGGCGGTGGCACCCCGCCCTCGGCGGGGGCTACCGAGGGCCGGCGGGAACCGATGAGAACGGGGGCGGCTCCGCCAGCGGAAGAGACGAGCATCGCCCCCCAGAGGGGGGGGAGGAGGAGGAGGAGGAGGAGGAGGAGGAGGAGGAGGAGGAGGAGGAGGAGGAGGGAGGAGGAGGAGGAGGTGGAGGAGGAGGAGGAGGAGGAGGAGGAGGGAGAGGAGGAGGAGGAGGAGGAGGAGGAGGAGGAGGAGGAGGAGGAGGAGGAGGAGGAGGAGGAGGAGGAGGAGGAGGAGGAGGAGAGGGGTGGAGGAGGAGGAGGAGGAGGAGGTGGAGGAGGAGGAGGAGGAGGAGGAGGAGGAGGAGGAGGAGGAGGAGGAGGAGCTCTTCCATGGGAGGGCCAGGGGGCTTCCAGGGGGATACAAGGCCCAGCATCCCACCGTGGGCCAAGAACGGCGCGCAAGGCTGGGGTCGCCCGGGCCCAGGATAAGACGAAGCCAGGACGAAGGCAACTTTGGACGAGGATCAATCGGGAATCGCTGAGAGGCTCTGGAGGATGTCTCGGGCGCCGCGGCCTTCTCAAAGCGTTCTGGAACGCTCTGAGGGCGCTCCGTAACGCTCTGGGGCGGATTAATCCTCGTCCTGGCCCCGTCCGACGCTGGCAACCTTCGGCCCCGGCCTCCTCACTCCTCTTGGTCTTTCAAATTTCGGGTGCCGTGGTGCCGGCTATCCGAGCGCAGTGTCGGAAAGTGCTGCGAGAGCCCCAGATCCAGATCATACTCCGAAAATGATGAAGCCGACGGCGTCTTACATCGCTGGCCGCAACCACGAATGGAGAAATGGGTCGCTCGAAAGATCTGCCAGCCATAACCCCCTTCTCCTCCTCCATTCCACCCCGCCCACCTATTCCTCCACTCCTCCCCCTGCTGCTGCTGTGCTGCTGCTGCTGCTGCTCCTCCCTATCCTCCCTCTCCTGCTCCTGTTCTTCCCTCTGCTGCTGCTGCTCCTCCGACGCCTCCTCCTCCCCACCCCTTCGTTTCGCAACGCCGACCAAAACCACTGCGGGTGTTGTCGCTAGGAGATGTTTGAGGTTCACGCATCGGCCTGCACTGCACATCAGATCGCGCCACAGCTAAGAGCGTGAGGCCGAGCCGAGTTGACCAGAGACGAGGAGAAGCAGCAGGATTTGGGGGGGCTGCATGGCTGCCAAGAGTAGCTACCCTGGCGCACGGGGTGTGAAGAGTAGTAGCTAACCTGGCGCACGGGGTGCGGTCAGTGTGCAGTAGCAGACCAGGAGTAACCAAGCATCGCCGAGAAGAGGGGAGGGGAGGATGGAGGGAGGGAGAGAAAGAAAGAAAGAGAGAGAGAGAGAGAGCAGAAAGAGAGAGAGAGAGAGAGAAAGAAAGAAAGAGAGAGAGAGAGAGAGAGAGCGCAACAGTTGTGACGAAGCGTCGTCGTGCGGCAACCTGGGCAACATGAGACCTCATGAAGCCAGGAATCCGCCTCCGTGCCCCATGGCACGTGGAGGCATGGTAGAATGCCAAGTGCTGTCTGGAAGGGTCCCTGCATTCTCAGAGGTCAGTTGCGTGCATCGCTCCCCCTCCCGAGGCCACGGTCCCTTGTGCACACGATGGATTCTTGCTTCCGTGGCCACGATTTCTAGATCAAAGCGAGGGATTCGTGTCCCGAGCTCCCAAGACGGACGGCCCATGTAGGCAACCAAAAACGCGGCCCAAGAAGGCCGCAAGGCAGCCGAATCTGACCTCCAGACGGCCCAAGCTGCCTCCAAGAGGCCCCTAAAGGGCAAGGCCCGAATGATTGTCTCATTCTCGCTCTCTCGGGATTCCGTCAGCTCGGGACGGCCCAAGACGCCTCCACGATGGCCTCAAGACTGCAAAAAGGGCCCCCAAAGGGCCCCAAGATGGCCCAAGAGGACCCCAAGATTGCCCGAGAAGCATCCAAAACGGCCCCAAAACGTTCCAAGGGCTCCCGAGGGACCCAAGACGGCCTTCGAGTGCCCTTTGACGTTCCAATACTGTGCCAAGACCAGCCAAGGAGGGCCTCCAGGCGGCCCAATAGAACCCCAAGACGGCATAAGAGGACCCCAAGACGGCCCAAGAGGGCCCCAATGAACCCCTAAGACCGCCCACAGGAGGTCACGACTGCTGCAAGGCGGCCCGAACGATTCCCATGAGAGCTCCTCGCATAGTGAATGCGAAAGGTGTCACAAGTGACGTCCTTCCTCTTCCTCCTCTTGCTTCTGCTCCTCCTCCTCCTCCTCCTCCCCCCCTCCTCCCCCCCTCCTCGTCATCACCATCACCACCAGCATCACCATCACCATCACCATCACCATTACCATCATCACCATCACAATTATCATCATAATCCCAATCATTCTCATCAAAGCTATCCCAAGCCTGGAGTCACGAGGTTTTACACGTGACGGCCTCCCGTGCTGGGGCGGCACGGTGCTGGGACTTGCCGAAGGCAGTTGGATACCGACGACATGTCCTAGTCGAGCAATTGTAAATACCTGCGGCACTAATGGATGCACTGCGTACGACGTGCGTTCATATGAGGTGATCCCCGTGCCATGACCTGCCAGCAAAAACACACTACGTAAAGATGGGTGGAGAGAAGAAGGAGGCGGGGGACGACAAGGAGCGAGGATAAATGGCTGTGGCAACTCGCTGGGCGCAACGCTCATAGTCCCACGGTGATCGTGGGGCCGTGCACGGTGCTTGCCTCGGTGCGGGGATCGGGTCGGGCGAGAGCCAAGGCAGTGGCAGCGGTGTGTGTTGCCGCATGGGTCGGACGGGCAATTCTCGGCCGCAGTGTGGAGATCGGGTCGTGCGAGAGCTGAAAGGACACGCCGCCCGACAAGGTGGCACGCGGCTTTCTGGCTCGGCGCGGGGACGGCCCGATGAGTCCAGAGAGTCCTCGGCGCAAATCCACGGGGCTTCGCGGACCGATTTGATCAACACAATCCGCACGATCCTCCTCTTTCTCCTCCTCCTCCTCCTCCTCCTCCTCCTCCTCCTCCTCCTTCCTCTTCCTTCTCTCGCAAAGTCGTCCAGTGGACCTGCCCCATAGCGCATTCTGAACAGGACTTCGAGGCGAGTCCAGCCGCGGCGACGATGGACAGCCCCCGTCCACAAGGCCGCAAACGTTTTCGCATGAGGACTTCCTCCCTCCCAGGGCCCAGCGGCGTCACTTGCGCGCTGGGCCCTGCGCAGACCAGAGCAACCCCCAGCGCAGAGCCTCCTCCTCCCACTGCCCCCCTGAGGTCGCGACGTCTCCCGAGGCGCACGGCAATCCCCGGAGGTCCTCCGGAAGGGTCCGCGGAGGCCTCTGGAGGCAGTCTGGAGGCTCAGAGCTTGTCAGACATGACTGGACGCCTGGATCCTCGATCGGGAAGCGTCGGTCTCAGTTCTGCCGGCAGGTCCTCGGAAGTGTCGAGAAGCGTCAAGACTCAGGACCACCCTTTTCCTCAGGGCCCCCCTCCCTCATGGCAGCCAGTCGCCCCTCCCCCTCCTCAAGCCGCGGGCCTCGATCCCCCTTCTGGCCATCGCTCGGACGTCCATTCCCTGTGTTTTTCGGTTTCGTGCGTGGTTTTTTCGCAGGATGATCCAGGTTGCTCCTCGATGGTCCTCGCCGAAGGAAACATGCACACGTCCGAGCGATGCCAAGCCTTCGATCCTCTTCTCACTCCTCGATTCGCTTCCTCCTCGCCCGATCCCCTTCTCGATATCTCCTTCCCTCGAGGAGCGCATCACAGCATCAACGAAAGCTCTCGCAAGCCCCGGTCCGAGAAATCCGCGCGGACCTCCGGGCGTCTACGCTTACGTCTTCCCGTGTTTCCCGGCATCCCCCCGCGACCCCCGGGCGGGGCCTCGATCCTCCTCCCCGAGCCTTTGATCCTCGAGCCGCCCCCTCAGGAGGAGGAGGAGGAGGAGGAGGAGGAGGAGGAGGAGGAGGAGGAGGAGGAGGAGGGGGATGCGGGGGTTGAGAGGAGGAGGAGGAGGAGGAGGAGGAGGAGGAGGAGGAGGAGGCGGGGAAGGAGGAGGAGGAGGAGGAGGAGGAGGAGGCCTCGATCCTCCTCCCCGAGCCTTTGATCCTCGAGCCGCCCCCTCCCGAGCCTGGATCGGCGGCACCCTGCTGTCGACGGGAGGCCGCAGCTGCTCCGCCTGCCGGGGCAGGCCCTTTGGGGGCCGGCCGCGGAGGAGGGGGTGAGGGGGTCTGCTTTCCACCACCACCACCACCAGAAGCTGGAAGGGGAGGGGGGTCCTCCTCCTCCACCTCCTCCTCCTCCACCTCCTCCTCCTCCTCCTCCTCTCCGCCCTCCTCCTCCTCCTCCTCCTCCTCCTCCTCCTCCTCCTCCTGTCCCCCCTCCAACTTATGGTGGTGGTGGAGAGCAGGCCCACTAGGGGGGGGAAGTGGGGGCATCGAGCGGGAAATGGGGGAGGGGAGGGGAGGGGGGGGCGGAAGCCACGCTCTGAACCGGGCCCGCCCTCCGTCAAAACGCTGCTGTTGCAAATGT